CTGCCTTATTAAAAGGACGAGGCTGCTTGTTGTAAACTAAAACAAACACCAGAGGTACCAAGAGCCTGTTTTGTGGGCATGGTTTGACATTTTTTTCAGAAGTACCAATTCCAAAGCAACACATCAATTGACACTGACTTTTTCCGGCTCAATACCCTAAAAGGTTCTACAAAAAAAATTAATGCTCCTGCTGTGGAACCTTTTAAGGCTGAACACCCTAAGGGGTATAACTAGCACCACCATCATTTTGATATGGGAGCCCCACCCCACCTCTCACCTGGGCTTATTTGTTGGTCAGTCTGTCTAATCCTACAAGAGTTCAGTATGGATTTCTGTAATACATGTATGTGCAGCCTGTAACTGATAACTTTTTCATTTCCTGTTTCAGATTGATGTTGTTCTACGGTATGATTTAGGTCCAGCACAACGTGATTTATTTATAAGAGAAGCCAAAATACTGGCTGGCATCCAGCATGAGTACATCATGAAGTGTTTTGGAGTTGTGATACTTGGCTCTTATGCAGACTCTGTAGCACTGGTACTAGCAGCATATTTTATTTTATTTGCTTTGAACAATCATTCTCGTCCCTAGAGCTGCCTGTTCATCTTAGCCCTCAAGGGCTTGGCAGCTTGATTGGCTAGATTCAGATTGGACTAAGATGCACGCTAATTCAATGCTGGTTTTCTCTGACCTTTATGGCCTGCTAATTGTGGTATTCTGCCTGCAGTTGTAAAACATTTTGACAGGGCTGGGTGTATAACAGGCTTACTGAATGACAAGCCATTATTTTTGTCTCCTAGGTGGTTGAGCTATTCAGTAAAGGTAACCTAGAGGAGTTCCGTGTTCCATCATTGTTTCATGCATGGCTGTATGCTTCACAGCTTTCTTCAGCGCTGGAATATCTAGAATCTAAACACCTTGTACATACATCAGTCGTGGAGCCCTTTGTCTACATTGCATCGCTTGAAAAGGTTAGAGTTTTTGGAAGTGGTTTGGAATAATTATTCTCCTCGCTACAGTTCTCCTTTTGGGTAGAGGGGTGGTGACCTCATGGTTAGTGTGCATGCACCTGGATTGAGCAGTCCAGGCTCGAGCCCTGGCTAGGGACATTGTGTTGTGTTCTTGAGCAAGATGCCCTCATAGTGCCTCTCTCCACCTATGTGTACAAATGGGTACCAGCAAATTTAATGCTGGAGGCAACTGTGTGATGAACTAGCATGCCATCCAGGGGGGAGTAGAAATATTCCTAGTCACTTCGTGCGACAGATACAGGAGATAAGCTCTGGCCCAATGGGCCACTTGGCTCATAGGCAGATCTTTTTTAACCTGTTCTCCCTTTATCTATCTCCACTCCCCCATCTTTTCTTCCCATTCTTTTGATCTCTCCTTATGCTTCATCCTCTCCTTTTTCATTTTCTTTCATCTTTTCCTTCTCTTCCTTCTGTTAGGTTCATATCACTCTTACTTGTCCTGTTCCTCTTTTTCTTTCTCCTTTTCTTCCATCTCTAATTCTGCCTCCTTTAAATTCCCATCATCATCCTCTTTATTCCTTATCTCTAGTCCTCTTCCTCTTCCTCATACTCCTCTTTTTCCTCTTCATCCACCCAACTTCTTTTTGCTTCTCTTCCTCTGTCTGCTCTTTCTTTTATTCACCTTCCTGCTATGTATTGCTTTTCATCTTTGACTTGTCCTTCTCGATTTGTTCAAAATAACTGTATCATGATACTTTGATATGTTGATCTTTCTTACCTTGTTGTTGTTTGGAGAACAGTCTCGGTTTAATTATTTTTCATTTATAGATCAGTGTTGGTGGCTTTATGTGCTGCTGTTATGAGGAAGAAATGGGCAAAACGCAGCTGTAAGAATTATTATTTATTTCATCATTGTATCAGTTCTTTCTTTTACACCTGACACAGCTGTATAATATATATGGTCGTTATTATCAGCAGTGTAATATCCCCTTGCCTACCAGAGCCAGACACCCTCTCCAACTGGTTGGCTTAATGATTTTTTTCAACAAGTGGGGGACAGTTTATTCAAGCCATTGCGAACAACCCCGAGGGCTCTTAGTAATGTTCTTTTACAGTATACAACATGTCATGTTATGTCACTTTATATCACAGACACAGATATCTCAAAATTTAAGATGCTATAAGATTTTTATTATTTTCCTCCTTAGGGCAGATTACCGTACAATATCTGGACACCAAGGACACCGTCTAGATGATAACTCATTCAAGGGAGTGGCTGCCATGTTTGCTCACCTTGTTATTGGGATGTTCAGATATTTGGATTCTCACCATTCAAGTCAGTTGCTAAAACTTTTTCCGGTAAGCAAGAGAAAAATATTAGAATCTTACTAACTTACTAAACTCCTGTAGAACTTTCTTTGAACTGTAAAGCATCAGATCATGCTACTTTATCTACAGCATGTTTCTTTTATGTCTAAACTGACCACTGATTGAAATTAATATTATTAGTATAGATCTATAGATGAAATATCCATGATTACATTTTATTACCATCTAGTATTTTGTTATTGATGTTTCAACAGCTTGTTCTTGTTCGTAGGCAAGACACTTTACTCTCACAGTGCCTCTCTCCACCCAGGTGTATGAACGGCCGGATAGCGGCAAATTTAATGCTGGGGGAGGGGGGTAACCCTGTGATGGGTTAGCATCCCATCCCAGGGGAAGTACATGTACTGTTAGTAGAAATACTCGTAGTCACTTCATGCTACTTAAACCAGATATAAGTGCCGGCCTGATGGGCCTCTTGGCTTGTATGGAGACTTTACCTTTTACCTAGACAGCTCTGAGTCAATCAAGATGTGCATTATTTTGCTATTTTGTAATCTTTCCATTTTTGTGCGTTTAGAAACGCAACAAGACGTGGCCTCTTGTATGTCCCAGTGGTGTTGCTTCCCTTCTGGACCGATGTCTAGATAAGGATGTAAACAAGAGGCCAACATTTCAAGAAATACATCAGATCCTTGCAAAGGTACATGTACACAATTTGACATGTGAAAATTTGATTTTTTCAAGTACAGTAAATTGAATGTGTTTCATAGAAAGTCCAGAAAGTCTTCATTATATTGATTGTCTTTTAACAGCCTGATATTTCACAACAGTACTGCAGCTTGAGGGCAGCATAACAAAATTTAAGTCTGTGAATAATAAATTTATTGTTGTTCTTAATACTCTGTAGAAATAATGAAAATTGATATTAAACATTTTGTCAGTTTTCAGTTTGTTGGCAACTGTCAATTAGATTAATTAACAAATAGATTCCTTGTTGCCTGGCATCTGTTCAGCAATAGTTCACAGATGACGTCAAAATGTGGTACACAAGGCGATAGCCACATGTGACACTGATGTTCTTACAACATGCACAGCAACATGAAATCTATTTGTTTTACGTAATAAAGAAACAAGAAGATGTTAATGATATCATCTATACATCTGTCCTTCAATTGATCATAAGTAAGAACCAATCAAAATGTGAGAATAAGTTGATTTATTATTAGACAGTATAAATTGTAATAAAATATGGGTACAAGTACAGTCAGTAGAATTGTGTTTAGAAGGGGCACTAGGTGTTTAGTGCCCAAGTTTATTGAACTATTCATTTAATTATTGATACTTCAGAAAGTCATTTATTTATTATAATTAACTAATAACTTAATTAAGTTGTAAATTAGTCCAAACTGGTAACATAATATAATAATTGCATTCATAAAATGGTAGCCGCAAGTTGCAGGTGTAATATTTGAAAGTCAGATACTTGATATGTAGTGTAAACATGTAATCCTACTCTTCCAGGAAAGACCCGTTAAGTTATGTTTCACAACCAGCAATTCTTCTGTTGAACCAAGCGAGCTTTCATATAAAGAAGGAGATAAAGTCTGGGTTATATCACCAAATGTTACAAGGTAATTTACTGCCATATGCCTGGTCTGTCAATACTGTACGTCAGTTGATCTTGTAAGTAACATGTCAGGCTAGTGTTTTAAGAAGCCACGAAAAACATGCAAGCTGAGATTCTTTGTTTTGAAAATGCCCCCGCTCAACTCTCTTAATAGACAATATTATTTAGTAGATTTTTCAAGGGGACGTTTATTTCTGTCAGTGGTGTTCTGTTTTTTCTGGAGTAGATTAAAACAGTACAACTGACAAAGTTATACATATGGTTTGCATTAACACCTGAATGAAATGAATTTTGCAAGCTACTTTATGCTTGTAATTCAATTATGCATTAATATTTAGTTACTATTTCTGCTACTGTTTTATAGCTATCGTGGTTGGTGGTTTGGTCAAAAAGAGAATGGAACGGCAGGATTTTTTGAAAGGGCCAAAGCCATAGAAACTGATGATGATGATGATCAAGGTAAGTTACAAGTGTGTTTACTCTTTGTAAAATGTGCTGGTTAAAAAGTTCTATTTGAGGACCTTAAAGGCCAGAGCAATGGAATGACAAAACTTCTTCTAGGATTGCCATCATTCCTCCCTTCTGCTGTTCTGTCATTCTGCCATTCCGGCTATAAGGGTCACCCGTTTTATTCCACCAGAGAGAGGTACTGGGAAAAATTACGAGTTAGTACCTTGTGTCACTGACTGATCACTCCCTTTCTCACATTTGTACCAAGTTCAAAAAATGCTTTTGAACCTTGATATCTTGAACTCAATTGTCTCAAACACCCTGCTGTGTGGAACTCAGGTCATTTTTCCTTGGATAAAAATTACACGATTTCAGCCATTTACGATCAGCTCACTCAAAGTTATTTTTGTTTCCGTGGAGAGTGTGAGTTAGAGAGGCTCACCTGTACCCACCATCATTTCCTTTTAAGTACTTCTCAAGTTAGCTGCATGTATCTTACTTATGCCTTTACTGCTGTCGCCATCAAATACTGGGTATATATAACACGCACTCTGATTGGCTAGTTGTGGGGCATTATTCTCCTATAATGCCCATGGGCCTGCAAAAACAAAGCAAGAAAACATATAATAAGTAACTTATTAAAGTGCACCTAACACCAAAAATTTTTTTCGCTAAAATAATAAAGCTTATTTTGTGGAGTAATTTGCCGCAAAAATTTGTCGATTTGGTTAAATCCTCGAATTTCTGTGCCCCTTCGAAACCGAGTTTTGAATGGTTCGTGACTGCACATGGGGAATCTGGGGAGAGTTAAAGCTGTGACATCAAATCCAGAACGAATGCTTCGACTGTCCCAGTCAGGTCTTATACTTTGTTCGAGTGTAGAAGCCTTTTTGCAGCACAAGTTCTTTCGCTGGGACTCCGCAGTTGACCGATTTCTGTTTTTACTAACAATGTCTTCTAGTTCGTCTGATTCTGAAATGAGCTTTGACTCAGAAATCCCCCCCCCCTGGGTTTAAGGTCGCTGGCTTCGCCCAAATCCAGGTGAAAACCTAGCAGGCATGTTTTTGCAAATTCGCTCATATAACAGTACTGTCTGCAGTTATATATATACACATACATATATATATATATTTAAAATCAACATTTATTCAGGGGCATCCATTGTTGATCTTAACTGTCATCAACCCTTGAACTTGTCATTTTGAGTAGAAGCAAGCCAGAATTTTTCTTCTAGACAGTCTGAGTGACAACACCAAGAAAGACCAATTAAATCAATAATCAGTTTTTTGGCGGCCAGGTGATGCCACTAAAGGGCATGTAATCAGTGGCTGTATTGATTCAGACATCTCTCTCAGTTAGCAACCAGGATATGCAAATGCAAAAAACACATTTAAGAAACTTGTTTATTGTGATTAGCTTTTAATGTAGTTAGCTGGAAAATATTAGCATCTGGGTGCTACTCTGTAAATATGAGACTAAAGCAAAGTTTATGTATGTATGTATATATCACCATGAGTGGAAGCATGAAAAAAAAAATGTTGACTGGGTTTGACTTAAAATCTGCAGAAGATAGCTATTTGTATCTGTAATATGGAACTATTTTTGTTTTTGTTTCAAAAGCAGCTCAATGACTATGACAAACTCTACCTGTTGATGTTCAAATGGAGGATCATCAGGTTGTTCAACCCCTTGTGTTATGCTGCCGGTGTGAAAAGTGTCACAGATCTAGAGCAACAACTTTTGACAAACATGGACCATGTGAAGAAAAAGCTGCCAAGCTGGGCACAATCTCCATCATTTGATGAAGATTTGAAAAGCATTCAAAATATGATCGCAGATTCAAAGACTGTGAAATATGAGGACTTGCCAGAACTTCTTGTAAGTCACAAACTGTAGTAACTAGTGAATAAGTTACTATGATCAGTGTGTGCGCAGCAGGCATTCAACAACAGTGCAACCTGATTAATGGATTTGGATAACAAACAACTTGGAGATAGCAAACAAAACTTGTCCTTACTTTTCCAAACTCAGAGATATGACACATGTTTACTTCTAGTAAACACATGTTTTGGTCTTAATAGCATGACAAAGAGGCAGAGCAAAAGTACATGAATGAACTATTCCTGTGGAAAAATGCAGTTGTCTAGGGTTCATTCAGGTGAGGGTGGTGCTGAAAAGAACTGATGAATGATGTTGTGACAATCTGAACCAGAGTCAGACCTACAGTAGACATCTTCAGTTGTGACTCTCAGGTTGTTGAAATGTCAGTCAATAACTACAACAAATCTTTTCAGTATTACCCTCACCCAGATGATCACATTAGACCATTACTGTACTGATAGTCCTGGGTTCAAACCAGTTATTTTATTACAATCCATTTCCCTGGTGTTTTTATCGCTGACAGTTAATTTGACATCTGCCAAACTTGCTCTTTTTTAGGAGATCCAGAAAAAATACTATAAGGAGGAGTTGGAAGCTGCAGGTGTTTCGATTATACAGAAGGATTGTGTTTCACTACAAACTAAAATAGCTCTTGGTCGTCCGTACTCTGGTGATGTGTATAATGCCCAGTTGACTCAAGGTGACAATAAGGTAGACTGTGAAATAAGTCTATATATTTCAGAAGTACCAATTCTAGAGCTGCAACACATCAATTAACACTGACTTTTTTCAGCTCAACACCCTAAAAGGTACCGCAAAAGCTCCTGCTGTGGAACATTTTGAGGCTGAACACTCTAAGGGGTACAACAAGCACCACAGTCCTTTTGATATGGAATCTCCCCTACCCCCCTCCTGGGCTTGTCTGTGGGTCAGTCTGTCTAATCCTCCGAGAGCTCAGTATGGATTTCTGTAATACATGTATGTGCAGCCTGTAACTCATAACTTTCTGATTTCCTGTTTCAGATTGATGTTGTTCTACGGTATGATTTAGATTCAGCACAACGCAAGTCATTTATAAGAGAAGCCAAAATACTGGCTGGCGTCCAGCATGAGTACATCATGAAGTGTTTTGGAGTTGTGATACTTGGCTCTTATGCAGACTCTGTAGCACTGGTACTAGCAGCATATTTTATTTTATTTGCTTTGAACAATCATTCTCGTCCCTAGAGCTGCCTGTTCATCTTAGCCCTTGAGGGCTTGGCAGCTTGATTGGCTAGATTCTTGGACTAAGATGTACACTAATTCAATGCTGGTTTTCTTCCCAGAAATATGCCCTGGCTGGAGGACATCACTGAGTTTGAGCCTTATTCAGGCATTCAGGACACTTAAAGTGCACCTAACCCCAAAAATTTTTTTTCGCTAAAACGAATCTACTTGTTATTTGAAATAGTTCTGTGAAAAAATTTTTGGATTCCGTT